GGTGACATACTCATACATAACAAACGGATCAGAACACGACCTGGACAAATGACTCAAATGGTTTGTCATTATATTTCCCATATATATATGTGTGTGTGTGTGGAATTAAGATTTCTCTTGTATTGAGTAGCAATTGTGTTTGTTTAGGTGCCATTGGACTATTCACTTAAGTCTTATCTACAAGTCATCTTTTTTGATCCTCGAATGAAGATGTATGTTCAAGGAGCACAGGTATTCTTAGATGGGTGATGAAGCATTACGTTTGATGGTTTATTTGTTGCAACTTCACACTTCTGCTCCGGAGTGATTACACACAAATTTAATCATTTATTTTATGATTAGGTTCAGAGTTGCTCATTGGCAAGGTCTCTTAATAATACTGTTCTTGAGAATGGTAATATTTTGGGAAGGCCAGTTCAACTTACCTTGGGGCGCAATCAAATAGAATGGGAGAATGCTAATTGTGGGATTTTTCTATATTGGCATGGCCGTTTAATAGAGGTGCGCTTCGCTCATACTTATCTATTTTTTTTATTTATAATGGGGGAACTACATACATGGGAATTTATTTTTAATTCCTTCATATGAATATGCATGAAGGTTAGTGAGCTAGCCTATTTGCTACAACTTGATTATAACTTTTTCTTCCAAAGGTTTTCGGTGGTAGAGGGATCAATTTTATTAATAAAAATATTAAATTGAGGATATAGATGGTCGGTCTGTAATTTTCAGCAAGTGTACTGTGCTGGTCATTGGAGTTTATTGCCCATGTACTCTTTATTTATGGAATTGAAGTGATTAGTCGATTAGATTAGTTTTGATTTCAGTTGCTCAAACAATAAATACAATAGGGGAAGTAGATTTGAATGATGACATTCTCATAATCTCATCAGATTGTTTGCAAAAACTACAAATTACAAATAACACTGAGGCAACTATAAATGTTGACAACTTCTAGTCATTGATATTCGTTTACCAAACCCTTTCTTAAAGACTATCTCGGTGCAAATAAGCTCCTAAAGCATTGTATGTACAAATTGCTATTATCAAACATCAATCTAGACATCAAGTATCCAGAAATTAACAATTAACATTGTGAGCAATTTTAGGCTTACAAGAGAGTTGGAAGCATGATTCACAACGGGGATAAAGGTCGTGGAATCATAGGTGTCATTGAAGTTAAGAATATAATGGTACATCCTAACTACCTACACTTTGTGTTGTTTCATTTTATCTCTTTCTTGAAATAGTGATGCACAGATGGGGGACTTTATAATGTGGTACAATCTTATGCCCTAATTGCAGCTACGTTGCTGCATATTGGCATTTTGGAGTTGTGATGAAGAGTGTAATAGATTTCTGAATGATTTTAACTCTATGGTTCCATTATCTTTCCTGACTTCTTTATGGTGCACTTTAGGCCCTTCCTTTGCTCGCAACCTGTTTCAAGCTCTCCATTTAAGATATACCTTTTTTGTAAAAATCAAGTCTGTAACACCTTCCATTACTGTAGTTTCCTTTCAAAATGGCATCATATGTAATGTGCACCTACTGCTTTCTATGTCTAGAGTAATAAATATCTACGTTTTCATTAATATTGAATGGATTCTCACTAACATTTTAACTTTCTGCGATTCTATTTGAGTACAATAAATTCTTAAACTATACTCCGTAATATATTATAGTGTTGCCTCTCGCCTAATGGATGCCTAGGCAGATGCCAAATTGCCTAGGCGACTAGAAGGTACTTTGGTGCCCGGCCTCACCATGACAACTATGATTGATATAATGAAGAAATGAAGTACAATGCATCTGGATCTCCCTTAAAAGATTTTTTAGCTTGTCATATACAAAAAAAGATGGTTTGTTCCCACTTTGTTTTTGTGTGCAATGTGGATCCCTTTCACTCTGGAATGCTGCAGAGTGACACTACAATCATATGGAGTACCAATTAAATTCCTGGCATGCAACATTTTAATGTAACCAATGGTTTCTTCCTTAATTTTTTGCTTTTACTTGTCTTAACTATGTGGGTCTTTCCCCTTTTGTAGGATGATGGTTGCGGTCATGTTTGGGTGCATAACAATAAGCAGGGGTTTCTTGATTGTGAGGCCTACGTTGAACTGGAGAGGTGGTTGGGCGAAGTAGTAGATAAGTACATTGACGAACATGTTGATAAAGTGGAATTGGTATGCTACTATATATTACATTCTAGTCTATATTTTTTGAAGCTATATACTTCATTGTTTGACTGGTTATTGATATTGGTTAGTTGGATTTTATGTATTGTTTTTCTTATTACATCAAGTCCATTGCCAATGGAGCTGAAAAAGTCATTTTTGACAATGTTTTAGCTTCATGCCTTCATGTAAACAACGGAAGACAGTACTGGATCAAAATGGTTCATTACTGCATGACGAGATCTCTCTTCTTACCCATTCCTGCATTGCTTTATACTCCCATATCTTTCTTCTCTTTTTCCTTTTTGTGCCATTCTATATCTTTCTATGTGTTTCCAACAATGGCAACTAAATGAGAAGTTCCATATATGCCATTTGACCTTTTTCACAACCACACATCAACCCATCTTCATCTTACCCAAGTGGTCTCAGCCCATCTTCTTGCCCAAATCGTATCAACCCATCTTCCCCAGATCACATAAACTATTCTTTTCAAAATCTAACTCAATTGCCTTCCTCTTTTCCTTTGAAGTCAACCACACATGATACATTTTCTGGAACCATTAGGTGAAGAACAAATAGAAATCTAATCCTTGCCTCGTCCCTCAGTCCCTCAACCACCATGGATCTATCCATGGTGATTCATGCAACATTGACTCTACGGTTTAGGAGTAGGGGTGCTGGCAGCTGAGGAGGAGGGGCACCCGCGGTTGAGTAGGAGGGGGGGTCCCGGTGGTTCAAAATTTTTTTCAAATATTTGAATATACCAAACTTCATCTTTTATGCATTTTTTTCTTCCCCCATTGGTGATTGGTTATTCTTACCTGCACCTAGTGATTTGGAATTAAGGTTTAATCGTTGTTGGTGATGATGGATTACTCTTACGATTCTTTACTTTTTTGCGATAGGCTCTTCTTTCTCATGGCCGTATTAAATAAAATTAGATAAAAATGCTTGATTTCATTCACATGCTCATAGGGCTTGGCTGTTGACTTCTAACACAGAATTTCATTTTGTAACAGCAAAGAAGCAACCGTTACTACAAACCTGATAATGATTGGGTACAGTGTAACAAATGTAGAAAGTGGAGAATGCTGCCTCCTGCATTTGATGCCAGGCTTTTACCTCTAGATTGGTATGTTGTGTTTTTTTTAATTCTGCTTTTGCACGTTAAGCTCAAAGATGCTGAAATGCCACTGCTTTATGCAATGCCTCTGTTAGGAAGTGTACCCTGTTTATAAGCAGCAATGGCCTTGCAATTGGTTTCTGTTTTGTGAGCATGTTTTTTTATTGCTGTTAGTTCTGTTTTGTTACAGGTTTTGCTTTATGAAACCGTTTAGTGAGAATTGTGAGATGCCCGAACAGACTGTTGAGGATGGAGTCATTACAGTCTCTACGAAACGTTCCCGTAAGTCTAACGACCACACACCGTCAGAAAGAGGCAAGCCTGCATCTCAAGGTCAGAATCATAACTAGGGTTGTAAACAAAACAAATATTTTGATTTGATTTGTGATTCGTATATGAAAACTATGATTCATACCTGGGAAAAATGAATTAGAATCATAGTACTAGTTATTAGTATTATTACCTGGTAAGTTTTTAAATGTCCGATTTTTTTTTAAATAAAAAAATATATATTTGAATATAATTATACAAATATGTACATAATAAATATAAATACATTACATGTACTGATATTCATTGAAAATAAACTAATATACATGTAAAAATATTTTTGAAACTAAAATTGTACTCCGTAGTTTCATAAGTTGTAACTTAAGCCATTAGAAGATTAGAGTGTTGTTAAGGAAGCCAATAATTTTGATTCAATTCATTATTCTTATTCAAAAACTATGATACTTATTTGGAAAAAGCGGATATGAATATGAATATAATTAGTTATTAGTTATTAGTATTCGTTATATATTCGAATTTGAATAGTTGCCAAAATTTTCAAATACAATAATAACACTCAATATATGATTTGGTTTGGTTCATTTACAATCCTAATCATAACATAACGTCGTTATATTACTTTTACGTACTCAATCACTGTCGGCGTCGTAATCTTCTTGCTGTGTGAAATCCAGGCCCAATAAGGCTCTCCGGAGATGAGAAGACAATGGGTGAAGCACCGGATTGCCAGGAAGAGCGTTTGATGTCCAAGAGACCTAGAAGAGGGTGTCGAAAACGTCGAGCTTGGTCACCTGTTTTTTTGAAAAACCCCAATTACGAACGAAGTGTAGATTGACCGCACCCCTTCACTCAACTTAGATTCTAACATATGTACAGCAAAGCAGTAAAAGCTAACACGGGGAAGGTATGGTAAAAGGTATCCCATTGCTTGTGATGGTTCTATGCTCCTTATGTTGCGTTTATAACCAGACTCGATATGAACTCAAGTTTCTTTTTTCTTTCCTTGAAAAAAGAAAACTAGAGTTCATTCGGAGCTATGGTTGTTCTTTTGTACATAAAAGTACCTGAAGGAGTAGTCAAGTTAATCCTCCTTCCTAATTTTTGTCATTGCCTAAAATTTTAGTTCCGTTCCATTAATTTTCTCTATTACAAATTTACAATGCTTGACTGATACAAGGTAAATCATCTATTCAAGTCTAATCACAACGGCTGTTGTGGTAGTGTAGCTTGTGATTAGTCCTGTCAAAGGGTTGGGCTTGAGTCGGAACGGATGGCTACAAACCCGTACCTACTAACAAATAATTGAACCTTACCCGAACCCAAGACACGTTAGAGTTTACCATTTGTGTTACTAGACCCATTCATAGTAATCAAGGCGTCGCCTAGGCGACGTTTATGCGTCTGGGCGAGGTATTGTGGACGCCCAATTGGTCGCCTAGCCTTTTCCTCCATGGGTGACTGAGGCTTCAGTTTAGCGTCTGTTTGGCATCTATTTGGCGTCGATCTGAGATTTGAATTGCAAGGAATATCGAAAGTCCATAGGAATTGTCCGGCTCTACGATTTAGATCGTGAGGTTGTAATATCTATTGGATCGTGATCGACGGAGATCCCTTAGGTTTTTTCCGGCGATCATGAATTCTTCGGATCTACGCGACCCTTCGGTTTTGTCGGAAACCCTCGAGGCTTTGACTAGTGACAAACTAGGCGAAGTAAAGTGTTTCATTTTTCTTAATTTTTATTTTTTTGTGAGTGAAACATACAGAATTTTTTTGACTAGCGACAAACATGCTTTGACTGGATTTTTTTAAGGAAATCTACTTTATATTTTCTTAAAGTAATCTGTTATCTATTCTTGTTTTCTACAAAGTATATACTAAGTAATGTATTTCATACCTATGAAATTAATTTTTCATCGTATATGCTTTTACATCAGTATCAAAAAAATTATTAAGGTCGCCATAGCCCACTCGCCCCGCAGACGCCTAATTGCCTAGGCGATTGGAAGGTACTCTAGTGCCTAGCCTCACCTAGCCTCCGTAACAATTATGGACCCATTCCCGTTTGGGTCTTGGTCGGTTTGAGTGAATGTCGGTATTGGAGGTTGCGAGTAACACATATTAAGACCATATTTTTACGGGATATAAATAGTTATACTCTCGTTGTTGTTATTGTGAGACGCTATATTCACCTTGAGAGAGTGGGGAGCAGGGCGAAGAAGAAGGTCTGGAAATCGCCAAATGGCAGAGGAGAAAAAAAGTAGAGAAAGGGGAATATGGTAGAGGGGGAGGATCTTGAACACAATTTGACGAGAACTAGTTTTTATTATATTAGAAAAATATAACTCAAAAAACTTATACAATAACTCTCATAAAAAACTTATATGGCTCATATCAAAATCAGAGGCTTGACTATGATATACATAGTGTTATCCGAACTTGGTCAACAAGTAAGTTGGCTAATCTTAGGATCCATAATTCTATTCTTATTCAAACTAGAATATCTTGGGTAATTCTAATCCTACTTAAGAATTAGCCAACAGAGGAAGCGATGGATGGAGGAAAAAGACAAAGATGTGATGGGGAGATTGAGTTAATTACATGGGGGGTAAAATATTGAATTTAGTGTTAGGTTTTTGCCAAAAGAGACATGGAAATAAAATTTCTCGACAAACCAAAAAGAAAAGCGAGAGAATTACTAGATTAAACATTAAACATAAAAGTATATGGTACAATTGGTTGTAAGGTGCAACCGGACAGTACACATTTTGTAGTAAAGTAGTACTCATTTTCGCACCAATATAAGTATTCATTTTGAAATAACATGGTACACATTTTAAAATAACGTAGTATTAATCTTGAAATAATGTCTCATTTTCACACATTATTTAATATAATTATGCTCCGTAATATTTATCTACAAATAATGTAGTGTTAATTTTGAAACAAAGAAGTGTTTATTCTCCAACATAGTATTCATTCTTAATTAACATACTGTTCATTCCACTCAAATCTCAATTTGTAATTCTTTCTTCTCTCAAATCTTCATAGTCCAACCTAGGGTTTCCACATGGCCGGATGTGTAACATGGCTGCCCCCAACACTTGGTCCTTAGATCTTCCTTCTCCATTGTTTTCTCCACCTAGGGTTTTCGCCACCATTGCTCTTTGCAATCTTCGCGCCTCCCTTTGTAGTCTGTGCACCTCTCCTTAGCCGAACTTCTTTGATCATTGCCCTCCCTTCTTCACCGGCTCCTCTCCTTCTTCACCGAACTTCAATCGTCGCCTACCGCTTGTACCTAACTTTGGGCACAACCGATTGTATAATAGATGGGGTAAAGTAGAGAATTTAGTGTAAAATGATCGAAAAAAACAAAAATATAATATCTGGACGACACGAAAAAAAAAACCAGAAAGAATTACTGAATGGGGCTGCCTTTGACTGAGTTTCGAATAGACTAACCCCTTAAGGCTCACTTATCTTTTGGTTAATCATGTGAGAGAGCGATTGCTAACTATAGATAGATTTTTCTGTTTGACTTTTTAGATAATTTTTTAAAATTTTAACTATAAATTATGGATTAGATATTTTGAATAGTGATATAAACTGAATATCAAAAAATTAATACTGAAGCGTAGTTTGAAATATTACATTTTTATATTGTGTATCTATCTATAAATAAAAATATTAAAAGTCAAATTGTTGCATTAAAAACTGTGAAAAATTAACTAAAAAGATTCAAAGAGGGTGGGGGTATAATTTATATTTGACGAGTTAGGAATGGTATGATGGATATGTACCGAGTAAAATCTTTATTCACCAAGCAAGTGTTGAATCTTTAGATCATGTGTTATTATGGGCTTGATGTGGGTTTGACCACCTCCATGTAGGTATTATGTGATTTGTTCCTCTCATCAAGCCACATCACATGAAGGTATGTTATCGCGAGGGCTTGACTAATTTTTTTTTGTTTTTTTGTTTTGTAGATAAATTGTTTTAAAGATATAAATTCAAACGGAATTTTTTAAAAACAATTACAATGGACACCAAACTCTTTTACAATATATAAAAAATTACACAGGAATTTTTTTAATACAATGCATAAAAAAAGTATTCATCTTGAAAAAAAATAAAAATTACACGTTGACATCTCGGTTTTTCCAAACATGCTTTACCAAATGTCCTTTAAGCATGTTATGTATTTCCCTACCTCGGTCTTCCGCACAATTTCATTTCTATCGCCGTTTGAAATTTCTACTTCCGGAACGTCAATCTCCTCGTAACTTTGGCACACCGGTTTTCCTTTCTCTGTCTTCTAAAATTTATACAATTTTACTAACCGTTAGATTTAAAAAAAACTATTATTTTTAAACGGCTGAAAAGCCGTTGGAAACGGCAACATGCGGCAGTGGGGCAATGCCAGTGGCCGCGGTCAGGCCTTGTCCGAAACGCTGTCGTGCCCGGGGGTCGCCATGCTCACGGCGTGGGGGGTGTTACTGGCCAATCCACGGTGCAGCTAACCTCCCATAACACATGGTCTTATTTAGCCGTTACGTCTTTCTCTCCTTTCTCGACTATAAGAAAAATAGTGGAGTACTTTCTTTGTCCCAATTTAAATCGAATGTTGTTTTCGAGTTTTGACTGAAATCATTTTTAATACATTTTATTTTAGAATTGGTGCAAAATTAAAAAAATTAAATTTACGTATTTAAAATTACATCAAAAGATTTACAAACAAGAGGTGGTAAGGACGTATTATTTTATCAAATACGAAGTGTAAATAAATAATGAATGTGGTTAAAATTTGACTCTATAAATAGGAAACATGTATCAACTTAAATTGAGACGGAAAGAGTTCATTAAAGTCGTGTATCGGACATGTGAATACAGATTGTACATTTGGGTTCAACAAAAAAATTTACACCCAAAAAACCCACTCAAAAACAAAATGTAATCATTAATTGTTGTAGTTCCCACATCGAAAAATAAAAAACAAATGCTACCAGCATATATAGCAGGGTAAGGTCTTACCTTTTAGCTAAGTGTTTGGGTTAGAATATTGGTCAACTTTTCAAAAAACAGAACACCAGGTTTTGGTTTTTCTGCTGATCTGCCTCTTTTCAAAAAACAGAATACCATTAACTTGGAACAAGTACAAAGTCATTGAAAATACATCCTCAATAAAACCAAAAAAAAGTTTTAAATATAAGCTTCAAACAAATATCACATTGTAAAGTAGAACAAGTACAAAGTCACCGACTCTTGACACGCGATTCTTCGCATTGTGGCTGTGGACTAGTGAGTACCATATTTGGTCATCGGTTAAATCAAGTCCATTTTTTATAGCCTCATCGCGAAGAGCAAAAAATCAAGTCTACAGTAACACAACAATGTCATCCAACTAGATATTAACACCACAAAGAACAACCTGAGCCCGTCCCGCATGGATACTCCTAGGCTTCAGGCCGACCTGGTCCGCACGACAAAAACTTCTAAAAAAATTTAAAATTAATTTTTAAAAGTAAAGTGATGGGTTAATATATTAGATGTTTGATACTCTGTATAATAACTATCATGAGTAAATGAAAAAACTACTACTCCGTAATATATAAAATGTGTTTTGTTTGATATTACTTCCATGTACGGAGAACGAAGTATTATTTATTGGAATACCATTATCAATGTGTGGTACATCGTAAACAATACGAGGTAATAATAACGATTTACTCATTTTATTAAGTATACTTGTAATTCATTTTTTTCTCCATAGAATTATGTACATATGTTTATAATATTTTGAATTAGTATTGTTCTTTATTGTTGTTATTAATGTTGTTATTGTTATTTTATTAAAATTAAACTAATAATAAATATTTTAGTTCATTCAGCCCGACCCGGCTCGTGGGCTTGAGTATAAAACCCGATTTTAGCCTTAAAATATTTGGGCCACCATTTATATAGTCTATGTTTCTGACCCGTAGCCCAAAATATCAAGCCAAAGCCTGCTACTTTGCGGATAGACCATATACCCGTGCCCATGATAGGGTACCCTAAAATGATTGCTATTAGAAGTGTACTATGCTTCACACAGATAATTACCGTCTGTTTAATGTTTAATGTGTGCGAAGCATGAGTGCAGCGGGCACATAACAACTATAGTCCACCCATCAAAATATTTCTTACCATGCTTTTAGACCTAAAAATAGTGTACGCGTTAAATTTTAGAAAAGTTGTTTTTTACTGAGAAATTGACACGCAACCTGAATATTCTTATCATACTGTTATCGTTTTACGGAGTGTAATTTTATTAAAAAGGGAAATTACTCATGTCAGAGAAAGGAGAATCAAATGGAGTTCAATCGACGGTGCAAAACCTTGGATCAACCTTGGCAGAGGATGGCTCGCCACCGTACAGCGATATGATGCCGCCGGCTTCCTCTCCGCCGCACTCTTACCAGGTATCCGCCGGGTACGGCGGTGGAGATGCGCCGCTGACGGATTCAGTTCCCCCCGATCTCAAACCTAGCGGAACCGAGCCGGGTAAGAAAAAGCGAGGAAGGCCACGGAAGTACGCTCCCGACGGGACTGCACTCCATGGCGTAATGTCTCCGCCGCCTCTTTCTGTGAGTTCCACAGGTGGATCCTTGTCCCCAACTGGGACGCACGCGGCGGATATGGCTTCGTCTCCTAAGAAGAAGTCGAGGGGCAGGCCTTCTGGTTCTGGGCGAAAGAACCAAATGGCCGGAGCTTATTTAGGTATGTTTCCCTGCGATCTGCATTTCCTCTCATGTGCTTGATATAAATAATACTTCGTATTTTTATTCCTTTTGTTTAATCTCTAGTCGCAGTGTTTATTTAGATTATTATTAAAAACATGCGGTAATACTTAAATACTTTAGGAATTAGATAATATAAACACGCAGTATAATAGATGGAGTGATATGATGCTGTAAAAATATCCAATAAACCTGTTTGTTTTTATGGGGAAAATGTAAAAAAAGTTTTTCATCTGGCCTCTAATTTCATTATTTCAGTGGGCACGAAGGTCTCAATATATTGGCCTTTTCTCCCATTGTCTTCTTCCTTGCTGACATATTTTATTGGCCTAGAAAATATCTGCTTCTGGCCCCGCTGAATATTTTGTTTGCTTCTTCTTCTTGTTCCTCCAGCATAGGATATGGCATTTTATTGTCAACTTATTTTCATTTTTAGTAGGGCAAGCCCAGTGAAAAACCCAGTGAAGTAGCACAGGTGGGTCGAAGGGGGGGGGGGGGTACGCAAACCTACCTATTTAAGGTAGGGAGGGTGTTTTTGACAGACCCTAGCACACAAGGATCACCTGCATACCATATTAATGATAAAAGGATCTTTAGTGTACTCCTTATTTATCGGATTAAAACTCAATTTACGTCCTTCCAAACTACTACCAGGCTGGTACCCTAGAATGGGGGTTCATCCTTTTTTTGCGATAAAAGCATCTCTGGGGATTTGGATTTTGTTTTCCTTTTTTCTGTTTATGAAATTGAGAAACCATTTCCATTGTAGAGAGACTTTGGAAAGTTTTTTGTAATTGGATATCTGTCATTTCCCATGCCACCATCTTCATAGGTTATCAAAGAAAGAGTTTAGCAGCTTGCAATATATGTTATTGACGGCCTTTGTTGTTATAGTACACCTCTAAGGCCACTTACTATATGTAAATATCCAGGATCAGCAGGAGCTGGGTATGGTTTTAAACCACATGTCATCACAATAAAAGCTGGGGAGGTATGGTTTTAATACTCAATTTTTTGTATCCCACCCCAGCCTCTCGTTTTATGGCGTGTGATTCGGTGTTCTTCATCATATATATACATTTCATATGCCACAATGTTTCATTCATGAACTGCCAATTTGGTTCTGATTGAGTTTCTAACGCTAGTTTTAAAAAAAATGTATTCATGATGCATTTCCCCTGCATTTGTCTTAAGTCTTAACCATAAACTGCCAATGGCTCTCATTAGTGCTCTGTAGAATTCAACATCACAAGTGTCTTCTATTCATTCACGTGTGTGTTTCATGGTATTATGTCGTGTTTATGAATTTCCAATGGCTTTATTGGTGCTTTGTGATGATTTGACTTCTAATTATTATCTACTTTTCTTCACTGACTAATCAAACTCATCTCTCTCACTAAAATGTAGAACTTTTGTTTGTGCCAACTGGAAGCAGAGACAATAATGTCCTTTTTATGCCATTATTGGAAATAGTTTAAGATATGGCCCAGTTGATAAGGGCAGCACACGTGAATTCTACTACTTACCTAATTTTGAGTAGCTTTGCTGTCTCATTTTTCATTTCTGTTTTTGTTACCCCCATCTACTTCTGTTTAAGTTGCAACCGCAGCACCCCCTTCCATCTCTAATCTGATTTACCCCTTTCCCTACTATTTTGTTATTTTACCTTTGGTTTGTACCTATATAAACCCCTTTTGTGTGGTGTAAGTGCAAGAGTGTGCCAAGTGTCTGACCATACTGTGTGCGAGACTCTTGTGAGAGCCTTAGTGGCTTGTGTGTGATATGTCTTTGTGTGCTGTGTTCAGTGAGAATCTGCCTGGGTGCTTCTCTTAGTGTTTTGTGTGTACTTCTGAGAAAGAGGAGAGAACAGAAGCTTGAGGATCATATTGAGAAGAGAGTGTAGTAGGGAGGTTTAGTATTCCAGTGTGGTTGGCTCACCTTAACCATTAGCACCTGAACCGATGGAACATGGTCGATCCCAACGGTTCATTCGATATTACTCTCCACAATTATTCTTAAGATTTATATATGCAATTCAATATGCACCTTTATTAAGAAGTAGCATGATCCAATAAGATACACTTGCTTAAGAAACTACACCACACCTTCCACTATATGCTTCTTATGCTTGGACTATGCTTCTGTTACTTGGTGATTAAACATCTCACTCAGTATTTCTAGCTATTCTTGACAGGATGTACATGGAAAACTAATGTCATTTTCTCAAAATGCGTCACAAGCGGTCTGTGTTATGTCAGCAAGTGGTGCCATATCTAATGTAACACTCCGTCAACCAGCAACAACTCGTGGGTCTGTGACATATGAGGTTTGTACAATTGTCATGTACTCATGCTTCTTTTTTTTACCACCCTCATTGGATAAAAGTTAGATTTCAACAGCCCGCACAATTTTAAACAGACTTAAATGCCTTCATCATTTTATATCTGTTTATGACTTTATGTCATGTTTTTTGATGAAAGCATATACACAGGATAAGAATGAATTGTTTTTTATGAGAGCATGCTTTGTGTATTTTTTTTAAAAAAACCATGGTTTAGTTTGGTAAGACGTAATGAAATGTAATCATATGCAATTATGCATATGTAATGCAAGTTTACACTAATATAAAACCTATTCAATTACTTCACAGTATATATGGAGTAGTAATAGGTGCATGGCATTACGGTGTAAATGATTTGGTTATTCCATTGCACAAGAGGTTCATTATTTCAGCGGTTGTACAGGGACGGTTTGAAATCCTGTCTCTTTCTGGCTCCTTCCTATTCTCTGAAGCAGGTGGTGAACGCACAGGCAGGTTGAGTGTTTCTCTAGCAGGGCCAGACGGTAATGTTATAGGCGGCGGTGTTGCTGGTCTTCTGATTGCAGCAGCTCCTGTTCAGGTCGACACATACTCTTATGTAGTCATTTGCCGCCTGTAAGAGCCTTCATTTGACACTTGTCTTCTTCATCGGATGCTGCAGGTTATTGTGGGGTGTTTCAGCGTGGGTGAGGTTGAACAGGTAGAGAAGCCAGGCCATCCTGAAGGGCATATCACTCCGCCTTCTCCGGGCGCGCTGCTCGTCTCGGGAGCCAAAAGCCCGCCTTCCTTTGGGTCATTAAGCGCATCCAGCGGCGGCGGTGGCGGAGGAGGCCCTGCCAGCCCTCCGCCTCTTAACCAGCACCACCCCGAACCTTCAACGAGCAGTCCTCCTGGAGTTGCAAGCTTCCCGTGGAGGTAGTACTAGACAGAAGCTTTTGGAAGGAAACATCAAAGTCTCAGAACTCTTGTAAGTCTAATGTTCTTCTAGGAACTCTCCCCAAATAGTAAAACAAATTTTGACTATATAGTGTAGTGCCTATGTAAGGGGATGGTGCCCTCTCACTTCTTTGAATCTTACAAACAATTGGGGATGGTTTATTTCTTCCCGTGTTATTTGCTTTTTCAATGTAAGGTTTAGTTATTATTATTATTATTAAAACAACAACCCAGGTGAATCCCACAACAGTAGGGTCTGGGGAGGGTGTGTGTACGCAGACCTTGCCCCTACTCGGAAGTAGGGAGGTTGTTTCTTTTAAAAAATTAAAAACGCATTTCTTTATGGTCTTACATCTTTATTCTCGCTTTCTTTTTTGGATTGTCCTAGTTTTCGAAAGAGTTGCAGACGTACAAATTTGAGCAAAGACTGGATGTGGGCCAGCCAGACATTTAACTACTTCCTGTTTTGGTCAGTATCAAATGGGGGGAATCGTTGTTTTGACATTGAAATTCAATGCCATATTAAGAATTTCGTTGAGCCCGGAAGTGATTTCCCTTGCCCTCCCTTGCTCCCACCTCGGCCTCTTACATTTTGCCAATTGGCAAGAGTAAAGGATGTTTGGGAGGAGTAACCATTTTGGGCCCAGAGAACACCACTGTAAGCATCCCAAATCGACGAATGTCATAATTTAATATTTGGGACAAATGTCAAAAGAACCGCACTCATTCAAGACTAAACTAAACTACTTGTGTACCAAAGACACCAAGTTTATGTCACTCAGTTTTTATACCACCAAGGTTCCCATGACATTGCCCAACAATGTCATGGGATGATCCGGGGGCTCTCCGGTGCCCCATTTGTAAAATGGATGGTTTCTACCTTACCTAACCCCTCGGTAAACCCCCACACCCCGCCCCGACCCGAACACACTCCCCACCCCTTTCAATTGCACCCCACAAGTTGATTTTGACTTTGGTCAAAATTTGGGATAGTCGTTAAATTACGTTTGTGAAGTAGAAAAAAATGGCGGTGTGAGCTTGGTGTATATCTTTGGTGTGAGCTTGGTGTATATCTTTGGTGTCACCAAGCATGGTCCATTCATTTATTTATGAGTGGCCACATTTGAAGAGCTGGCATGACATTGCCTATTGGGGGGTACTTGAAGGTTCCGTTCGTGGTATCCACTCGTTATGGGCCAGAATGAGAGTTATGGGCTTATCCAGAGCTGAACAAAATCCAGAAAACAAATGAGTGGGCCCCCACAAGGTAAATACTCCGTATACTACTACTTCCCGTTCCTATGGAATATAAATTTGTTATCATTTACGCGGGAGCCGTTGATTGGGTCGTTATTATTATTATTATTATTATTATTATTATTATTATTATTATTATTATTATTATTATTATTATTATTATTATTATTATTATTATTATTATTATTATTATTATTATTATTATTATTATTATTATTATTATTATTATTATTATTATTATTATTATTATTATTATTATTATTATTATTATTATTATTATTAT